TATATATATATATATAAAGAAATTCTGTAGATGTTCTCAGACAAAAATGCAACAATCAAAAAGAGCTACATACGGTTCAATGGTAAGTGGTTCAGTATCACTTATCTGGAGTAATAAAGATCACAGCTTCATCAATGTAAATTTAAAATATGTTATTAACATATAAACATTTACCCAAGACATTACTAAAGTATTATCTCTATCTCACTGGCATTTTTTTTCTTTAACAGGAAATTTGTCAGCTGCAGTCTCAGATCTCAGACACCTCTGTCATTGTGTCCATGGACAACAGCCGTGACCTGGATATGGATGGCATTATCTCTGAGATTAAAGCTCAGTACCAGGAGATTGCTAACAAAAGCAGAGTTGAAGCAGAATCCTGGTACCAGTCCAAAGTAAGTATATCTAGAAAATGGCATTGCCAGAAGTAATTTGACAAAAGAAAAGTGTGCAATACTTTAGTAAGAACACAAATACTATAATATGCTTTCACAAGTCCAGTTTTACTTGTAATGTGTACAGTCCAATTGACATGTCATCTATTTGGTATTGTATCCAAACCGACAATTTTTCATCTTTTAATTTGGTTAAACTGTTTTCTACAGTATGAAGAGCTGAAGACTACAGCAGGAAAACATGGTGATAACCTGCGCAGCACAAAGAATGAAATATCTGATCTCAATAGAGGTGTCCAAAGACTTAAAACAGAAATTGAAAATGCTAAAGCTCAGGTATGGCAGGATTTTCACATGAATGCATTTTTTACATCATTCTGTTTTGAGATATGGCCTATATTGAATGTTAATGAAAAGATGCAAAGTACAATGTATTATCTGTTTCATCTAGAGAGCAAAACTAGAATCTGCTATAGCACAAGCTGAGGAACGTGGTGAGATGGCTCTTAAGGATGGAAAAAATAAATTGGCTGATCTGGAAGAAGCATTACAGAAGGTCAAGCAGGACATGGCTCGGCAGCTGAAGGAATATCAAGAACTTATGAACACCAAATTGGCTCTGGATCTTGAAATTGCTGCCTACAAGAAACTTCTGGAAGGAGAAGAGTGCCGGTGAGTACATAACCCCCTAATCTTCTTAAATATGGCACAATGCATTGGCTGCCTTTGCTGAGCATTGGGTTTGAAAGAACTAGTTGCCTGGCTGTGTTTCTAAGTCATGGAACAAGTATTCAAATCAGGAGTGCTAACGTTCCTCCAGTATATTAGCTGCATGCTGGTCTGTCGGTGTCAGGAAATACTGAAGGTTTCATACAGCTAGGTAACTAATCTTTTTGGAAAGAGTTGCAAGAGGCTCCATACTTTAAACGCCTATATGTACTGTATAAGTGTAATTTGTACATTTCCTCTTTGTAGAATGTTAGATCTGTAACATCTTTTTCTACTAATATTCCAATGCTATAAGGAGGGTTTGGACCTCTGGGATCTGATCACCCTTAGATATTTAAAGAGAGAATGCTACCTTTCCCACTTAGGGCAAGTAACACTGTCTGTGTAAAGTCTACCTCCAGATTCATTCATGGTGTCTGTGTAAAGCTGCCTTCCCCCCACTTCCCCAATCAATTGATTTGCACCTCTCCAGAGATTGTCTGCCACTCTTCCCTTATCACAGCTACCAACAAAATACCTGGTGTTGGCTGGTGTAAGAGCATGAAGTGGGTATTAACAATTCCCTTCTCCATCATGTTACAGTGCCCTGGCCCAGAGACTTCCCAATAGACCCGAATGCTGCATCATGTAGGGAGGTTACATGATTACCAATACCTGGAAGCACTATTTTTATGTTCTGATGCTTTATAAAATCCTGTGTTTAGAAACACAAAAGAATGCTAAGCGTTGATGATTGGCTTGAATTTTTTAAAGTTAACCATAAAAGTGGCAGTTCATGAATTGCAAGTAAAAAGGAGGGTTCTGTAAAAAGAGCTCATTACACGTTAGAACATGAGAGATAGGAGGATGAGAACCAAAAGTCTAAGAGTTATATTTTTAAAGCCATGAATGTTACATTAACCAAATATTAGCTGCAGCTAAACTTTCCTGGTGCGTCATTGTGAGTATTTGGTGAATGCCACATCCACTGTTTATGAATATCCCCCTAAAAGTTGAATGCCAATTCATTATCAGGGTAAAATTTGTATTCTGAATAATTAAATGTAAATAAATGTAGAAATGTAAATTATTGCTTACATATGCTGTATAGAAATTTATTTTTTTGTATCACTGTATGCATGTTTATTTTCAGGCTTTCTGGAGAATGTGCAGGATCCGTTAAGATCTGTAAGTAGTTTACATTACTTTTTTTTTTGATGATGATTATCCAGGATAATGTCCCCATTTAATAACACATATTTTAAAATCCTGTTCACATAGCTGTTGTGTCATCCAGCATGGGAGGATCCATCAGTAATGCAGGTGGCTTCTACGGTGACAGTGGAATGAGTTCTGGAGCTGGTTTCGGTGGAGCAAGTGTCATCGGTCGAGGTGTGGGCGGTAGCCGCTTCATTAGCTCAGGTGGTGTGAGCTGCAGCAGTGGTACTGCTAATAGGGGGTTTAGCTCTGGTACAGGATACACTGGAGGAACCTCCTCAAGCCAGGGCACTATAACAAGATCCACCAGCTCATCATGTTCAAGGAGGATGTAAAATAATACTTTAAAACTCTATTTCACATTACTGCTTTCTTCTGCTTAACCTATTCTGTCTTACGTAATGGATGTTAGATGGTCAGTTCTAGTCATCACAAAACAGCCCTGAAATGTATTACTGTACAGCTCGCCCTAAAACATACTCATAATTAGATGACATTGATAACAATCCTTTAGAAAAAATAATTATTATTAAATGCTATTCATCTCGAATGTTGCCACTGCCAGCAGGCACTTGAAAAATGCAATACAAAGTAAAAAAAGATTAAGTACAGTTTATTAATTCTTAGTTGACTTTATTACATGAGACATTTAGAAGAACCCTTTGGATGCATCTCCAATACCAGGCATTGAAGATCAGACGCTGATTAAGTATAGGTATTTTCTGCAGAATGTTTCCCTGTACCTCTTACTAAATAAACTTCAGTTCATTACAAAAAACAATTGCCTCTTGTTTTCCTCAAAGTTGTTTTCTCAGTGGTCTATTCAAAGATTTCTTATGTGTATTCAAGGAAAATTAGTTATTGATGAGTTCAGATATTGCAGAAATTATTAAAGCTCTAAAGATAATGAAACTGCTGGAATGTGTTTATGATTTCAGACTTAAAAAATAATCCCTTCCGTTCTAATGGCAAGCTCAGGGAAACTCAACCTCTGCAGACTCTCTTTTTGGAGCTCTACCCAGCACCTTCTTTGTAAACTATTCCCAGGGGCCTAAGGAGTAACAAGCCTGGAAACAAAAAAAATGGAGGTGTACTATTTAAACATCATCTGCCTGTACCTTAGTACTTGTGATATTGTTTCCTGGCTGAACATGTGTGCACTCCTGTGTTTCTGACTCAGACTGACTTTCGGCTATGTTTTTTTGATTGTTTGCTGCCTGTCTTGGCTACAGTCATTTACTGGACACACTCTAGTATGCAGCCTGCCCTGACCCTCAGTTACATTTCCCGGACTCTTCCTTCTGCAGCGTCAGTGCATACCATGCTATGTTTTCTTTGTGGGCCCACAGTAACTCCCATGGTCAGAGTATATAGTTTAAGTCTTGTGGGCATCAGAGCACCAGTAAGCACACTTGCCTTAGAGGAAAGGTGGCTGCCAAAGTTGAAACACATCATCACTATATACTTAGGCCGTGGTGTTTGCATATGAAGCCTTAAAGCGCCAAATAAACTCTATGCTCATAATAGTTTTTTTTGACAAAGATCCAAAGCAAGATGTCACATGACAATTTGCATGCCTCAACAACCAAGAATTTTAGTTGCTCTGGCCCATTGTGTGTTCAGAAAAGTCATCCACAACATTTGGGTGCTCAAAGTAGAGACTTCCCTATTAGATTTATTTAAAGAACTGCAAGTGTAAAACTAGAACACTGGAATCCCATGGATATGCAGTCGGAAAACATGACATAATCGCATCTATCATCGTCTATTTCTCGTCTTTATCTTGCAATATGCTCCTTGGTGCCATCTAGTGGCAAGAATTGCCATGCAAACAGCTTTCACCCATTAAATGGCTCAACAGAAGATTTATATATCAACCCCATAGTGTATTTGTAGGCTTGTCTCCATTATTGCAGACTGACCGTTTTTATAACTTTTTTATGATCACAAACATGTCTGTAATAACCTTCAAACATTCTGTGGGAAAGGCAGTCATGTAATGTCTTTGTTAAAGGAGAACTATGGGGTAGGTGTTTTTCCTCATAGTTCTCCTACGGGTCACGGGAGGACATATACTAACCTCCTCCCGTGATCCAAAGCTCAGTATATTGCGAGCTACAGCTCACGGTATACTGAGACCGCCGCAGCCGGGATGGATCCCAACATTACTGTCGAGATCCACCCAGCTGCGTGAGTGATAGCTGGCTCTGCCTATCTAGAGGCAGAGCCAGCTGAACCCTACCCTGTCCGTTCCTCCAGTCAGCGCTGGAGGACCGGAGCAGGGAGGGGGTGAATCCCTGCAGGGAGCTGTGAGTGACAGTCACGGCTCTCTGCAGGGAGATGATTAAGAAGTGAGCGAGAGACGGTATGTGTTCGCTCACTTCCAGATCTATTGAGCCGACCTGTGACAGTTTCATTGTCACACGTTGGCTCGAACTATGAGGGTGAGTGATTTTCACTCACCTCATAGTTCTCCTTTAATGGGTAATTATCATTTATAATGAAGACAAATGTGGGATCATGTGTTTGAAACCTAACTCCACGCTCCACCTTAAAATCGAATCCCTTCCCATCCTTTTGGCCCCCAATGGCTATATTTTTTGTTTTTATAGTTCTAGAAAACAACTCCCCTGAATGGGTTTTCACTATTGCTTGCATATCTCTGTGATCCAGACACCCCTAGCTTTATATATAATTTCCATGACATATAAACAGTACATTTAATATCTTATTGCTATACTATCAAAATTATAAGCACAATGCACTTACAAAACCCATTTAAATCAATTGAAAATCCCCTAACACGATCTCGCTTTGATCTCCTCTTCTGTCCCCGAATGCATGAAGTGATGTGTATTACATCACTTCCGCATTCCTCTGTCACTGTCCATTACAGAACACCGAAGAGAAGCTGATGGAGCAGATCTCTGCTTCATCAACTTCTCTGAGGGTCCCTAGGTGACATCAGGGGTCTTGAAGACCCCTGATGTTTCCATAAAGAGGACCTGTTATTTGAACTGGCTATCACAAAGGGGATTTCTTTGTCTTCTATCTGATAATAATAAAGTTATGTGTAAAAAAAAAAAAATTAAAGCGTAAATAAAATAAAAAAGCTAAAAAAAATAAAATTTTACAATTTCACAAATATTTATTTTTTAAATAACACAAAAATTATTTTAAAGTGCCCCACCCCCCACATACACACGCAAACATGTGTTGGTTGCACCAACATGCGGAAACTGCGATTCCGCCTAGTGTGCCGCACATGTTACATATTGCCACGAACGTTGGAATGAGAGCAATAATTCTAGAGCCATTAATCACTGATAACACTAAACTGATGGACGGTAAAAGCTTTTAAAGCGTTGCCTATGGCCAATTTTGGGTTTGGTCATTTTCTGCGATTTTGCTGGCGCGTTCAATTTTAAAGCTTGACATGTTTGGTGTCTATTTATCCAACGTGACCCTGTATTTTATATTTTACCAAAAAATTGGGGTGATAATAAATGTTTCACAACATTTCATAGCAAAACAGTTTTTTTTTTCAAGATTTAGGGTACTTTTTTTTGTTATATAGTAAAAAATTAAAACCCCCAATGGTGATTAAATACCACTAAAAGAAAGCTCTATCTGTCCCCAAAAAATGGTATCAAATTAATTTCAGTACAGCGTTGCATGACTGAATAAACGTCAGTCAGAGTCCTGCAGCACTGAACACTGAAAAATGGCCTGGACAGGAAGGCGGTGAAACACCATGGTCTTTAAGTGGTTAATAATGTATATATATCATTAATATTATTATATAGGATTTATATGACGCCAACAGTTTGCGATGCGCTTTACAAAATGGGGGCGACAGTACAGTTACAATACAATTTCAGTACAATGTGGTTAGGAGGGCCCTGCTTGTGACAGCTTATAATGTAGTATACATCTATCAGTATGCTACTTTTGAGACTGTATATCCCCTATAGAAAAAATGTACCGTAAGCTAGATGACCGATATGTAGCATTATGCAAAATAATGATGACAGCGGGGATCTCAAAATAAGTCAGTTTATGTACCATGAATCATCAATAAATACACCCCATGAAAGTTCAAACCTGGATCTACCTATTTTATTATATATTCGATAGAGCCATGGTGCCTTGCAGTCACAGTAGAGTCCTCAATCTTCCAGGCTGAGTGATGTTGGACATCATGCATAAGGACTGAGGACATCATGTGGCGAAAAAGAGGTACTATGCGTTACAGCTCTGGATAAGAGGTATACTTTTATGACACTATGGGAACCTTTTTAAAAAATAAAAGATTTAACATAGAGTTGTGCTTTAAATGCTGCTTCTAAATACTAGTTTTCCCATACAATGTAAGATTGACTAATAGAATCACAACCTTTCATTTAAAAAATCAATTGCATGGTTTGGACTGATGATTACTGCACAGAAGCAAGGTCATGGTAAAAAACTAAGGGTATGTTTTAGCATGTTTTTTTCTTTTCTAGTGTTAGTAACTTTATTTTGTGTATCATTGATTTTTTTTTTCTAATTCCACAGGCTAAAGTGCAGCTATATTTAACAGCAATAAACAAAATCTTAATTGCAATTAAGCATTTACATTTAACTAATGCCATTTCAATGACGTCAACATTTACAAGAGGGTTAACGTCAAATGTGTCCACCTTAACAATCCAGACATCCTATAACTATTTTTATGGGCTTTTTGAAAATGATGCTTGAAACAATGCCTTGGAAGGTTAAGAATAATAGCACTAAACTTATGGCTCAAAAACTGATCATGATATGTACAACTGATTTCAACATAAAAGAAAAGATAGGAACATATATTAATAAAGAAAATAAGGTCTTTTGCCAGAATTTGGCTATGAAGTCCACTATGTTGGGTACAGAGTAATGATTCAGATGGCGCTGTCTATAGGGGAAAAGGATAAGGTTTTGAATCTGCACCTCTATACAGTTTCTGTATTAAAATTGGCAGCAACAGCAAGAAGGTAGAAGGTAGTAAAGTAGACCTGATGCCAAGACCACTTTTTTTTTTTGGATTGAGTAAGTGAGGGTAGCAACTGTCAGATTTTTTTGCCATCTGTGTCCCATTGGACACTACCTGTCCAATAGCCACTTCCTGTCCAATAGCCACAACAGGAAGTGAGAGTAAATCCTTCCAAAGAGAGGGAAATTCCCGGTGGTCATATTGGAAGATTTCCCATCTGTTCCCGTTTTTATGACAACCGAACATTTGGGATTTTCTTTCAATATCAGTGATAGCGGTCACCAGGACAAATAGACAGGGTGAATCTCCCTAAGGGCCAGCAATAAAAACCTGACATTCTAAAACTAAAAAAAGTTTTGACTTTAGTTGAACTTCAATGCTGGCAAATCTCATATGAAAACAATGTCAAGTATGAAAGCAAAGCTAATGTCTCGGTTCCCCCTAAATACATACATACATAAAAGCAAAATGTGCCCCTCCCCCCATCCAATTTCACTGTTGCTTCATAGTACCCCCATAGTCACACACTATTATTTTACATTCATATCTCTGCCATATACCGTAGTAATGTACAGAGAACACTGAGCCAGTCACATCAGTCTCTATACAGAGGAGCTTACACTTTAATGCAGAATGCCATCATCTATAGAAGACTACAAATCCCAGCAATACATTATAAAGCAATGCAGAATAATAGTATATGTATTTGGTACATACTCTGTTCTGTCTCTCTGCTCTGGAATGCCGGCCTGATGTCTTGTGCAGAGGGTCTCCGGAGAGATGTGGAGGGCCTCAGGAGGGCTACAGAGGGTCTCAGGAGGGGGAGATGTACAGGACGGCAAAAGCGCTGTTAGCAGGTGTCGGGTGTTTCCACAGAAGGCTGTTGCGCAGGACCCAATGCAGCTGAATCAATTTGAAAAATTTATTTTCCAAGCTGCATAGGTCAGTTGTAAGGCAGAGTACAGAGGTCAGAGGTGTAACGCAAAGTGCAGAGGCATAACGCAGGGTATAGAGGTCAGCGGTGTAACGCAGAGGTCAGGGTGTGACGCAGAGTACAGAGGTTAGGGTGTGACACAAAGTACAGAGGTCAGGGTGTGGCACAGAGGTCAGGGTGTGATGCAGAGTACAGAGGTCAGGGTGTGATGCACAGTGCAGAGGTCAGGGTGTGACACAGAATACAGAGTGCAAGGTGTGATGCACAGTGCAGAGGTCAGGGTGTGACGCAGAGTACAGAGGTCAGGTGTGATGCAGAGTACAGAGGATGGGGTGTGACACACAGTGTAGAGGTGTGACGCAGAATACAGAGGTCAGGGTATGACGCACAGTGCAGAGGTCAGGGTGTGACGCACAGTGCAGAAGTCAGGGTGTGATGCAGAAAGAACAAGAACTTACAGGTGCTCTGCCCTCTTTCTCTCCAGGTGGTGGTGGGGGCTGGGGGTGCAGCCATATTTCCATCATCTCCTATGATGAAGCCTTCAGCTGCCTCCCTGTGTCTTCTCCCAGGACCCTCTCCTGTAGTCTCCAGCCGGCCAATGGTGATCCTGTAGTCTTCCACCTGTAGCACGGGAAGTTGGCAGAGGAAGCTGCAGGTGACCGCTGAGCAGCCCGATCACTGAAGCGGGTACATAGTAGTAACAGCTGAACCGATTCTTTTCCTCCTCTGTCGCTTCAGTGATTGAGAGCAGCGATCAATGAGAGGAGAGAGCTGAGAAGAGTGATCGCTTCTGCGGCAGCCGGTTTCAAGGGGCACCCGCTCAGTCCGCCTTCCAGTGTTCCTCCCAAAATAGTGGAAGTTGGGGATCGGATCTCAGTGGGCCCCCCAACCGCATTAGGCTCCAGGGTAGCCGCACCAGCTGCACCACAGGTAGTTCCTCACCTTCCTATCATGAGGCAAGGAAATAAACTTGTCTCCCTCTTTGAAATGGCAGTTGGGAAGTGAAGCTATTTTCATTCTGAATATCCAATCAAATACAAGCAACATAAAAAAAGGAAATATTTTTGCTAGACTAGTGTAAGAAGCCTACCTCGTTACGTCCCGGGATCACGATTCGGGACCGCGCATGCGCATAACGGGCTGTAGCGTCTCCTCGCGGCGCACGCGCACGTAGACCCTCGGCTCCTCCTCCTATTAGCGCAGGCGCACGAGGCTCCTTAAGACGGGGCCAAACGAATCTTCAGCGTCCGACTGTTTGCAACAGTGAACGCCGAAGATTCACACTCTGCAACCGCAGACCGCAGCAACCAGGGACCAGCACCTCGCAAACCCCACTTAGAGGGTAGCTCCAAGGCACATCAAGGGGGAAGTCTGAGATTGCCGGCCAGGACGGCTAGAGAGAGGACTACTGATGCTCACCACCATCAGCCATAGGAGATACCAGGAGTGTTCTTCCAACCGCAAGTATCCGTACTATCCGTACTTAAGCCGGGACTGTTAAATCTGTATTGTGTGACCAGGGGAATAACAGTATAACTTGCTTGTAGTCAAGTCCAGCTGACTGTCATTATAAGGAAGTCACTTGTCTCTCTTAGTATACGTCTACTGGGATTCCCTGTGCAGTACCGGGTCTCACCACAGTCTAACCCTGCAGAAGTTAACCCTCTCCCACCTATTTCCTTCAGTTGACATACACAACCTTTCAGTACGGTTTATATGATGTGAAAGGTCTCCTATATTTCTCTACGTTACTAAGTGAGTAATTGAGACCATCAACTGATCAAACCGCAAGTACCCTCTCCGCAGTTGTGATCCAAGGCTTGCGCTGCAGAGACGTTACAACTAGGTGATTAAAGCGGACATGGCTTCATATTATTCAGTAAGTTAAGCGAACCCTCACCTTACAGAGTAAACATCTGCTTTGCAAAGTCAAAATCATTTTCTACTGTACTAATTAAATGCCATAGTGTAAGAGAACCAGAGAGAATTCTTTAAGAATTCGATTTAGGGAACTCATATGCCTCTTGGAATGCTTAGGAGCTGGGGTCCATCTTTGAGAGTGTAGAACAGTGACCATGAGATGAGACCCAGGTAGAAGTAAGAAGTTAAAAGAAAATAAATGTTACTTAATGATCTAATTTGTTTTTGAAAAATGAATAATTTTACAAACCATATATCATCTCATACATATATCTGTATTAAACCTGTTTGCGATGCAATAAACATGTGTCTGCTAGTTAGAAATAAAAAAAGAATTTAGGGACAAGTGCATAATATTAATTTGAGAACTTCATAAAATAGTGCCTAATTGATATTAATACTTTGTTTCTCTCACCAGACATTTTATGAAGATATAAAATAAAGAAGTCATCTAGTAAAGGGTAATAAGCCAGTGTTGATGTGACACTGTATGACAAACTAAGGACTAGAGAACCATAAAAGCACTTTACAAGCTGACCCCTACTTAAGTTATGACACTCATGAGTGTGAATGTGCAGAAAATAAGGTGTGCTCTACTACAGAGAAAAATCATCAGCATTAAGGGCTTTTCATCTTTACGAATATTCTAGGTGTGTTAAATTTAACTGTTCTATTAAATTTCATTAAATCAAAATGATGGGAATGTAAAGATGTCAAAGTTGAAGCTCACAAGATGCAATTACAGGGTCTTAGTGCACATTAAAGTAACCAGGCCCAAATGCAGTTAGTATATAAAATAGGAGACTTTCAGCATTGCATTCAGAGGGACCGACTTGTAGCTTGTTCTGCACTCTTCGTAAGATCTCACATTCCAATCAGTTCTGCAAAGATGTCTCACCACTCCGGACATGGCAGCCACGGGCACAGAAACTTCACCTCTTCCTCAGCTTGTTTACCAGCTGTGAGCAAACACAGCTTCGGCTCCATCGCTACTAAGAAAGTCTCTGTTGGCCACAAGATGGTTCCTTCATATAGCAGCAAAAGTGTCTACAGTGTTGTGTCCGGTGGACATAAGTTGTCATCTGGGCTGAAGGCTGGGCATGGATATAGTTTTGCTGGAATTGGACATGGACTGAGCTCTGCTAGCTATGGATATGGTGGATCATTTTGCTCCTCTGGTATTACACCAGTTACCGTTAACCAAAGTCTCCTGGCCCCTCTCAATTTGGAAATTGATCCCAACATCCAGAGAGTCAGAATTGATGAAAAGGACCAAATTAAAGGACTGAATAACAAATTTGCTACTTTCATAGATAAGGTAAGATATGTAATGTTTGCAGTAAACCAGGATTGTCTGAATTTAAAGTAGATTTCCTTCACTGCCATAGCTGAAGGATCTGCAAACTGACTGAAATGACAGTAGATCAGAGTTTATTGTGTTATATATTCAGCTCTTGGCTCTTGTTTGTTTAAGTGTGGGTAATGTGTTGCTGAACTGAGACACATTGCAATACAATATATCTACATCACACATTATAATCAATAGTTAGAGAAGAACTACCTAAAGGAAACGTGTCAGGTAGGCATCTAGGGGCTTCCATTGCCTATTTACTTTTAAGGTGCAAACTCCAAGGCTACTATTCTTGTCATTACTTTACTACTTAATGAGTGAATAATCTAAAGCCAGCTTTACTGGCTGCATATTTGTGCATTTTTTTTCTGTGTGCCAATTCACACCTTTAATCCAGCACAATTATGGAGAATTCCATGCCACAGTGGCATCGCTAGAGAAATTATAGGCCGTGTTCTACTAATACTTCTCTACCCTGTAAGCTGGATGACTCTGCTAATTTAGAGTACAGTTAATTAAAGCTAATACAGAGGTAATAAGGATTCATGCTGCCATGTATTAAATGCATGTATTTATACCACTGATAAAACACATATGGCAGTATAGCACCTACATTCCTTGTTACCAAAAGAGATAATGCACATACTTAGAAAGGTGGAGGGGACGTGGCACAGTTACTTTAACTGCAATATTTTTATGGAATGTTCATATATAACTTTCTATGAGTATAGGTTACCACCATCGGAACAGGCAAGAGTCACTGGGAGTCCAACTGTGATATAACTTTGTCTTTTATTAAAGCAATTCTATCATAACACAAACCTTTGATATAGTGGACTTGCATCAAAAAAATATGAAGTTATATCACAGTTGGAGTGCTGGTGACACATTTACCTATTTTGCTTGTGACTGCGTCACCATCCACATGTCACTGTAGCACCCACCATGTATTCTGGGATATACCTGTCAGCAGCATGGGATATGCACAATAGGTTACCACCATGGCAACAAACACCATTTAACCCTTTCCTTGTAATAAATACATGAAAAGCTAGACACTTAGGAGGACAAGATTAATTATTTGGCACTCTGCATTATAACATTAAATTATAGCTAGTCAAAACTTTTATTTTTTATTTTGGATAGAAAGGAGAAGTTTTAAAACCCCTGTCAGATATGTATTGCTGTCTACTACTTGCTGTGGGAGATCTACCATCTCTACATGTCCTGGTGACCACTGGAACAGAATAGATGGGAAGTCCTCCAATGGGCACATCTGTTCTAGAGACAAACAATGTGATTTCCTCTCACTTTGGAAAGATTTACTCTCAAAGAAGGCAAATTTCCCTCTTGGGAAAAAATTAAAACAACCTGACAACCCTTGCCTGTGCTATACAAGCAAAGAAAATGTATAGATATCATTCAGATTAAAATAGTGAAAGATTTAGGTTTAGAGTGAAGCCCTAAGTTATTATGTAACATTTATATAAGTAAAACATTTGTTCCTATGTAGAAACAGCTTGTGCACATGGTTAATTACTGATTTCCATTTATGACAGGTAAGATTCCTAGAACAACAGAATAAGATGCTGGAGACCAAGTGGGCACTTTTGCAAGAGAAGAAACCTGCCAAGAGCCACATTGAGCCCCTGTTTGAAGCTTACATCAGTAACCTCAGGAAACAGCTGGAACACCTAGGAAGTGAGAGAGCTCATCTGGAGGCAGAAAGAAGAAACATGGAAGATGCAGTAGAGGAATTCAAGAAGAAGTAAGAACCCTGGGGCTGCATTAAGTATAAATATTACCTAGAAATGTGTGCATTATTACCTATAGGTTTAAATAATTACAGGCAATCAATTTAGCCTGAACTGGGCTGGGTTTATACTTTTCTTCACCCCAATGTCAGCTGTCTTATGCCTCCCCTCTGCTACTCCCAACAGCTGCCTAGCCTTAGTATCACATTAACAGGATCAAACGTCTGAAACATACAATGCACACTAAAGCTATGGGCAGAGAAGCTGAAAGAGAAAAATTGCTTAATGTCAGCATGTCTATAATTAAATAGTGGCTATGACCATTGCCCCATTCTTCTAGCAGTTTGCTTCAGGTGTATAGACCCAGTCAGCAACAGGACATGTTGTACTGTTGCTGGCAGCCATACTACCCTTGACCATGGCCTATATTAGCTTTGCAGAAATCTGGCTCTGATTATAATGCATGGCAAGATGAGCTGCTATGTTTGAAAGTATCTGAGAGTTGGCTCATTTCTTGTGTGCTGCTTTGTTTTAATTTTAGGCCCTGATTAGATCAAATTGCCAAGTTCACTTATAAAAATTGTATCAAAATCTGCTGACATTGTCAAATGTACATGTTTGGCAAAATAGCAAAAACAGTGTTATACAAAATACTTTTTGTGTTTAACTCAACAGGTATGAAGAAGAGATCAACAGGCGCACAGCTGCAGAGAATGAGTTTGTTGGGCTTAAGAGAGTATGTACAGACAAAGTTTAAATATTATGCTACCATAAAGAACACAAAGGACTTTAACCACTGGTATTATTTACCTTCTAGGATGTTGATGCTGCATTCATCAATAAGGCAGAACTGCAATCTAAAGTGGACTCCCTCACCGATGAGATCAACTTCCTGCGCGCACTCTTTGATGCGGTAAATTTTGGTTTTCTTGTAGTTAGGCCCAGCAATATATCAAGCCCTGAGGCTGCACTATACTTAATCTTAAAGGCTTTCTTAAAAAAGTAAATTTAAACTTTAACCTGCTTTCCTGAGAAAAGGGGAGCTTATATACCAGCTCTTATAGACTGCTTGTGTCCACCCAGTATTTCTACTATATCATGATGACTAACAGCACAGCTTTACACACCTCCGCTACCCACCATAAAAAGCTAAAAAGGAGAAGTGCTTATAAACATTCAATTTTTTTTATTCTTCCACATGTGCATGACTGCAAGAGACACTATCAACAGTAAACGCTTTCCTAACACAAATAGTTGTAGTCTGTTTGAGACTTTGCGATTATATAATATAGCCAGTCACTATAAAAATGGCACTTAATGGATTCCTTTAGTTTTCATTTGCTTGTTTTCCTTTAGGAAATTGCTCAGCTCCAAGCTCAGATCTCAGATATTTCAGTTATTGTGTCCATGGACAACAGCAGAGACCTGGACATGGATAGCATCATCGCTGAGGTCAAAGCTCAGTATGAGGAGATCGCAAACAGAAGCAGATCTGAGGCTGAAGCCATGTACCAGTCAAGGGTGAGTCTGACTTTAACATGTAACTAATCTGTGTCTAAATTTGTAGGTCTTCCCAACACAACCTGTAGTGATGATCATACACTTTTCAATTCTGTTGGTAATTTTTTCCATCAGCTTTTGCAGGATAGTTATATCTTTAAGATATATTATCTGATGATGAGTCATTGTTTTGTACCAAGATAAATTAAGAGATCCATGTTTGTAAGAATATTTTATCTTACTTATTTAGCCTGTGTTTAAGACACATAATGAGGACTTGTAACTTTAGAAGTTGATATTGTTTATGTCTAGTTCCTCAGATATTATTAGATGGTCTTTCCATCACTTATTTATCTGCTGTAGATGTCAGCTACTAATCTACAGATTCCACTCCATTCCTTGGTTATGCTACTCTTTATTAGGCCTGGTTCACACATGTACATTTTGTAGCGCGTTCAACGCTCTACGAACGCTCTACAAAACGCTCAAACATGAAAATCCCATTGTTTTCTATGGGTATGGTTCACACCTTGCCGTATTTCAGCCCGTCTGAACGCACTACAAAACGGCCTACGCCTGAAAAGGTACATGAGCTTCTTTGCGGCGTTTTTGTCTCGCGTTTCCATTGGGATACAGCCAAGTAGCCCTGGGAAACGCACGTTTGTCGTGGCAAAAACGCGCGTCACGAAAGCCGCGCCGACAAACGCGCATTTTCGATACGCCTAGGTCTGAACAGAGCCTTACTGTGCTGTTATCCACAGTGCGGGAAGGAAACCTACTAGCAGAGTTGCTTTGTAGTATGTAGTTAGTAGTTTCTGTGTCTCCCTTTTTTCATTCTCCCATAACCTCTTTAGACTGATTGTGTCATTGCATAACTAATCAAGGCCACATCAGTGTAACATCCAGTGACTCACCACATTTCCCTCCATCACTGTTTGAACAGACAACAAATTCTCTAGTCGAGGACAGGATGACAAATGCTGATGTAATACATTAGCCAAAGACTTACATTATGGTAGAGCTTGTGGGGCATGCAAGTGATATAATGAATAATAATTATAGTTTAAAAATATGAGGTTGGAGCCTCTTCCAACAGCACAAATACTAGAACGAGTACTGCTAAATGGCTAAAATAACTTTACATTTTCTATTATGCTCTGACCCTGTATCGAAAGAGTAAATATTAATACAACAAACGAGAAAAGAAAAGATATAACAAATTTAAAAGGATGAAAGAAGTCAAACCTAGTCCACTTCATGACCAGAACCTCTGTATTCATTTCATGGTTTAGGAATAGGATGTCCAACAAGCTCATATTAGTATGATGGTCAGGTGTCGACACAGAGTTGCATGCTGATGTGATTTTTAGTGAAGTATTTGTTTTGGATGGTCTTTTTCTTTAAACCTATTAAATATTGTTGTTCTTTCCTAGGTAATCTAGGACTCCCTAAAAAACTGAAGCTGCATCTTGCTAAACTCTTTTTTTAAAGTCTGCAAATTCAAGACTTTGTTTCCTGTGGTTTGGTTCCTTCATAACTTCTCAAAATTATCTTCCTTAGTATGAGGAGTTGCGAATGACAGCTGGAAAACACGGGGACGATCTGCGTAACACCAAGCATGAAATCACTGAACTCACCCGCCTGATCCAGAGACTGAAGGGTGAAATCGAGAGTGTCAAATCACAGGTAACATTACCTACTACATGTATAGATTCTTTTTTATAATACATTGGCCCATTGTTAACCGTGGGATTCTATACTGTAGATGAGTAACTTATGATTTCAAGAGGCTATCTAACCGAAACAACAAATTCTTTTACATTTTAATGGTTTCAAGTATAAGACAGATTGATAGATAGTGTATCTAAGCATTATTATAGTAAGACGTGATGATCATGTATTTGAAAAATATAGCTTTAAAAAGTAATCAACACAGATTGGTTAAAAGTCTGACCCTTGCAAGGATTCGGATTTAGTAATGTTTCTGCATTATTGAGTGCAGAATTTATTTAATTGTAAGTATGAGTAAGCAACATTCCATCTCTGGAGTGGAGGGGCAGAGAAGCTGCAGGAACCTGTCAAGCAGCCAGATGGGACCGAGGTTCAGGTGAGTATATCTTTGTTATTTTAGACTCTAGCACGCTAGCACAAAAAAAGCACTGAGCCCTTGCAGCGTGGGGGTAGCCCCACACTGCAAGGGTTAAGTTTTATTCTGCCTGGAGTTCTTTAATCTCCATCTCCAGAGAATTGATAGAGTCCTATTTACTTGCATAGCAATCCTAATTTCCAAACTATTCTAGTTTTCAAACTACCTGCATAAAACCTGCAGTTTTCAAACTACCTGCATAAAAAAAATACAGTATGCTGACCAATTCTAGGACCCCATTTCTGCTGGGCCCCATAAGAAGTTGCATGTTTTGCAATGGCTGTAAGTATAATTTTGAGTGTGTGCATTTGTCAGGACAGCAACTGTCAGACCTCCAGGGTCCTTTTGCTGTAACTAATACCATGAGTCATCCTTAAACTAGCTAAGTAAAGCTAAAGAAGAGAGTAAATATAAAGCTTTCAAAGGCAACCTAGATAATTATAATAATGATTTAATGTTCAAAATCCAGGATAAGCCCAGTTGATACAGGTTCTCTTTAATGTGATAAGCTGAAGCAGCAGATCTGTAAGTCCTATGATATACCCTTTTATTTGAGATAATGAGCACAACAACATAGAAGAGGTGGAACAGGTTTAGATGCTAGGTGAGGCATGGGAGAGCTTGTAAAATGTGATGATTTGACATTACTCACAAAGTTACATTGATTAACCTTGTCATGCATACACCTTTGGTTCAATTCACACTCAGCATGATACTTCACTATGTGCCATTCAGATATAATTGTCTAATTTGAGTGAATGCATGTCTGTCTACAATCTTCATCATAGATACAGTTTAGACTTTTAGTTTAATTGCTTTATCTTCCCTGGTTTGAAGATACACTCCAGTCATAATGGAAAATAAAACCTTGGGCAGCATACAAAGAGCTCAGCTCTCATCTTCAATTTTTCATCCAGGCATTGCTGTAGTGCACTGGGCTATCCTATCCCTCTTCCTTTTTCTGTAACCTAGTGATTTGTGATATACAGGAGAACTCTTCCTGAATCCAAAAACAGATGTCATTTAGTTTGCTAAAGAACATATAACTTAAAATACAGTTTTCAACTTTTTTTCATTAGTTTTTTGTATCTCAGTACTGCTAATCTCCTTTAGTGTCCTTTGGCCACTTCACATCTACATGCACTCACTCCAACATCAATTGCACATGCTCTTGAGCCAGCGTTTCTACATGAGTGAAGCTGTCAAAAAAAAAAGCAATACTAGTTCAGGTATCACGTTAGTGGTAAAAATTCCCGTGCAATTTCCTGCTTAATCCTGCAGGGGGCGGTGTATACTAAACTATGGCATGACACCAGTCAAGGTACAAACATACTGCACAAGCATAGAGCCAAATCAAATCTATGCCTACATAATATCATTACATATAGTTTATGTAATAGATAGTTACTTGGCAGCAGTGATTAAATATGTCCTGTTATATTCGGCAGGAATGACATAAGAATATATGTGTTTCACGTGGAATGTGCTACATATTATGGACAAATCATGTATGATAGAAAAAATATGGGTTCCTGATGGAGGACACATTTACATAATCATATGCCCTTAAAATTATGCTGTTATGTACATTAGATAAGAAAATTGGGATTTATTTAGAAGTGGCAAAGTGAAAGTTCCCTTGGCATAATTAGGTGTTGTATCCTATAATGTGCAAGCAAAAATCCTATATTTTTTAAAATCTATTTGGCACATGATTGGATAGTAAAAGGAAACACTGCTAAATGATCATTAACTTTGCTATGTATCATGTCATATTTTTGTCATCTAGCGTGCCAAACTGGAATCTGCCATAACAGAAGCAGAAGAACGTGGTGAAGCTGCTGTCAAAGATGCCAAGCATAAGCTGGCTGAGCTGGAGGCTGCTCTACAGAAGGCCAAGCAGGACATGGCCCGCCAACTGAGAGAATACCAGGAACTGATGAATGTCAAACTGGCTCTAGATATTGAGATTGCCACCTACAGGAAACTTCTGGAAGGGGAAGAGGGCAGGTGAGTGCAGGTGTTCATGGATTAAATACAAGAATATAAATAAGAGAATGTATCTGTAGACTGACCGATATTATCTGTTTGCTTTTCTTGTAGGATGGTTGGAGAAGGACATGGATCTGTTAGCATCTGTAAGTCAAATAATAATGATAATGATAATAGTAATCTGAAATTTAAATTATGTTAAATTGAAAATGAATTTTATAGATTTGGATGGCCAAATATGAATCCAAATCTCAGTATTGCTTCTGGTGGTTCAAATTTATCTTAGTATCCCTTATAGGATTTTTAAAGGAAGTGTTTTGGGCTGTTTTTGGTCACTTTACCTTATTAGCCACCAACCATCTCGTACAATTTCACATAATTTTCTACTCTGTTTGGGAGCCTGGTTTGGATTGCCAGTGACCTCAATGATACTTCAGGTTAGAAAATTCCACATTTTAGAGGTTTATACATTTTTAAAATGTTTGCACAAACCACAACTGATTGAACTTTTCAGAATAATATAAACTGTAAAAAATACCATAAAATGTTACTATGCTGTTTAGTCCAAATATTGGTGAACTAATTATTATTTAAATTGCATATCTAGCCAAGCAGATTGCAGAGTATGCAGAGTTTATAAAAGTATGCAGAATTTATACAAACTAGTTTTGGTGCACTGTACAGGCTTATACACATACATGATTAATTAATCAAAATGGCAGACCCTGTGACAGGTGTTTTCCTGAGATTGGTGGATGGGGTCACTTCCTTAGAAATAAAGGTGAAAGAGAAAAATAGAATGCACCATTAAACATGCACTCAATCTACATTAAATATGTATTTTAATGGAGCTTAAAGGGAAACAGGCACTTTGCTAAGCACTTGTGGGTATTAGTTACCTTTTCCACCCCTAGCTTTAGGAATTTCTCACTGTGACCAATGGTTCTGCATATGGGTTCTTATAGTAGAACAATAAGAGATTGGGAGATTTAAGCTGATGATGCACTGTTAAAATTTCAGGCACTTTCTGCTAAATCCACTGAAATTCAAACCTTGGGAGGCCCTGTTGGCACCCCCCAAATCCCCTGACTCCCCACCACTCAACAAAAGTTGATTCTCATGTTCACTGAGGCAAAACGAGAAAAATCCCCAGGGTGTATGGGAAACTTTAAAGGAGAACTATGAGGTGAGTGCTTTTCACTCACCTCATAGTTCTAGCCGACCTGTGACGATGAGACTGTCACAGGTCGGCTCAGTAGATCGGGAGGTGAGCGAACACATACCGGCGTTCGCTCACCTCTCGATCCCGTCACGGCTCTCTGCCGTGACAGGGGAGTGGCTGGATTCTGACTGGGGGGAGGGGGCGGGTACAGCTGGCTCTGCCTCTAGCTGGCAGAGCCAGCTGTCAGTCACGCAGCTGGGCGTATCCCGGCATAATTGTCAGGATCCGCTTCAGCTGCGGCGTCTTAGTATACCGCGAGCAGCAGCTCGCGCTATACTGCGACGTCTCAGTATACCGCGAGCTACAGCTCGCGGTATACTGAGCCTAGGGTGACGGGAGGACGCTAGTTTGTGTCCTCCCGTTACCCTAAGGAGAACTATGGGGAAAAGCCTTAACCGAATAGTTCTCCTTTAATACCATTTGGTATGGTATATAATTGATAATACCATTTGGATGCAATCCAGATAAGAAAGAGTGGAGTTCAATAACTTCAGTCCACAATCTTTTCAGGTTTAAAGGGATCATTTAAATTCTTTTTTTACAATTGAAAGAAGAAATAGCAAAAGCAGCACCAAATAGATGGAGATGCCCTCTAATTTTCTCCTAATGTATTTTTACCTAGTATACTTTAACATTGGTTTCTTTGTTTTCAGCTGTGGTTAACAACACTACAGGACACAGTTCTGGCAGCCAGCACCACCACATTGGAGGAGGATTCAGCTCCAGCAGCCTTTCCAAGGGGAAGCACGGACATCACCTTTAGATGGAAGACAGAAAACAGCAATCATTTAGATATCCAAGATGTTCTGTTCCCATTAATTGCACTGTACTGAGCCTGGACAACCTGACCTGTGCTCTGAAACAAAGTTAAATGTCAACATTAATCTCTTCTTGTGTCTATAATACTTCTGCATTCTCTGCATGCGTGTGCCTAAGTGGGTTTTTTGTTTTATTCCAGCTGCCTCTTATGAAATAAAATCTTTATTGTTACTATGCATAACCATGCATTTTCCTAATTTCCTGTAATAAAGCATTAGTTGATTAAAGCAAAATATTCCTGTGCCTGATATTCTTTAAATGCAGTTATCAATACATTTGAGTGTATCATAGGGACTAAAGTCTAGTCTCAAATGCAAGTGTTGTTGTTCCATGATAACATAATCATACTGCAATGACAAAGCACCCTGATCAAAAAAGTCTCTGATGTGTGCACCCAAGGAGGAGATGCCAAAATGTGTAGCCCCTCCCCTCCTGCTAAAACAGATACAGCTTGCATGTCCTTGTGTATATTGGCTGGACCAGTGAAGGAATGACAGCCCTAATGATCCGCTCACACCACACAGCATGCATTGTGTGCACAACCCGCGGGTGTGTGTTGTGAGCGGATGTACTGCCGTGCATTGATCTGCATTGCTAAAACACATTGCAGCGACTGTTTTTTTATTCAACATGTATGTGATTATGTGCTGCAGTGCTTTGTTATGCATTACACTGGGTCGGAGTGCCCTGCACAAAGATGCAACATGTCCTACTTTCTTTAGCACACACCAAAGCAGCTCAGTGTGAACTGAAGCCAAAGGACAGAACTTGTTCTGTGCATATACTGCTGTTCTTACATTGCATTGGGCAATGTTGCTGGTGTAAACACTTCCATGTAAAAACTGAACAAGATGGAGGGAGGTAGATTATTGTGATTTAAGCATAATAAGCATAATGATAATCAAAATCCGTTCTCCATTTGTGTACAAAGGTATCTAATAATGCATTAAAATGGGAAAATGTATTATGACTTAGACCACGTCAACTACAACCGTGGCAAACTAAAGAAGCCAGACATCTAAAAAGACATAGCCGCGCTCTTGAACGACTGTGGTGGAAAATTAGGCTTCCTCAAGACTTCACCCTGTAAAGCTGCCCTCCTAAAATATAATTCCTCCCTCCAAAAATCTTTTCATCAGTTTCGTCAAACTGAATTTTTTTTGTTGCTATTTTGGATTTGGCCACCAGTGATTTCTGCGCATGTGCGGACACCTTGCGTGCGCAACGATGGGTGACATAACACGTCTGTTGGGGGGCACAATTTTCTGTTCTTGCCTCGGGTGCAAAAGGAGCTGGCTACGGCTCTGCCTCCTCCCTTCTATTTCACTCTCTTTCCTTCTCCCGGCTGCTGGAGATTGTGCTCTTCCTTTTGATCTTGTGCTAAACAGGAAGTTCAGGGAATCTGAAGTGAGAGAGTTGGAGCCAGCTGTTTGGAAACATGATGTCTGTAATTGTTTCAGTAACAATTTTGTTTTAAATATTTTCCTGGGTAAAGTATATTTGTTTGACCTGGATTAATGCTACTTTAAGTTATAGAGCTAAAACAAGATGTATATGAGAATTCCTTATCTTTATACTTGTTCAGTGATTTCACAGCTTAGCATTAACTGTAGTAACACTTACAGGGTTATTCACAAAAGGGTGAAGAGTTTGGAGAAGGCAGAAGAGGTGAACAATCTAGGCCAAAATAGCTGATCTGGAAAAATGCTCCAATTCTCCAGTTCAGCTCAATTTCCAGTTTAAAAAAAATGTAAATTACAATTATATATTCTTAGAAACAAATATGATCTTTTTGAACTAATTCTGTGCATACACTGATAACTGGATCTTAGGGTTGAGGCCAATCTTTTTTTTTTTTTATGATTCTTATAATTACAATATTTCAGCTATTTTGTTGGCACTTAATGACACCTTACCCACCTGAGAAACCATCATAGCATGTGATGTAAATAGATTTGTGTCAGTCCGGTACAATGCCTGGATTAGGTTTGATGTCTTACATAAGAATAACATATGAGGATATCTTAGGATTTACTACAATATCAGAATGTATTTTCATTCAATGATTTCAGCATATGTAGTCACTTCTCTAAAGTGAATAAATGGCAGACAATGGGTTTTATTTGAGATTAGAACAGCAGAGTTAATATATATATAAACATTAGACCATTGTTGCTGGTGTTACAATATGTAATGATTTTTGCCTTTCATGAAATTGCGTTGATTGCTACTGATTGCTGTTTTATTGTAGAAACTGTATTCCATTTGTAAAAGCAATAAATAGGGATAAGGTTCTTGTTCAGACCGAATGTTTTGGTCTGTATAACGGTAATGAGGTGTGAGCCCCCAATTCCAATTAGGAAGTGTTGTAAGGATAAGGCTGAATCATATATGAAATATATCTGTGCATTTATGGTATAGATGTTAAAGATTCCTCGCATTCCACAGTCCCTTCAGGCCTTGCCCAGATGGATTTCAGAGTAATCAGATAACGACTAATCTGCCCCTTGATCTTTTTATCTTTTGCAATAACCCAGTAAGTGTTCAAATTGTTTATATTTGGCCCTGCTGTTTATGAGGGGTCTCATAAAGTCCTAATGAAAGCTAGGCACATAATTCCCTTTCTGAGCCACCCATAATTCATGAACGTATCAAAATCAAATGTCGTAACGCACAATAATCTATTCTTAGATTAGCCCTAACTCTGCTCAGCCCTTCTACGCATTCTCCCTGCTTCTTCCAGATTGGCTAGAGGACAGCTCAGGGACACCTCCTAGACTCTAGGGAAGCTGACATCTTTGATCAAATATGGCCAAAGGAACTTTTATTAGTGGTGAGGATTGCAACAAGAGTGGATTGTCTCAGCAGACCATAATTTTTACCTTGGTGGGTGGTCAAGGCTGACGTTCAGTGTGATTGACGATGGATCTGCATGGCTGGGCAATGTGACTGATAATGGTTTTAGACCCTCTGACTTTTTACAATTTGTTGTTCTTTTTAATAAAGGACTTGTCAAACATGTGGGTGTGTTTATTTACATTGTCATTTTTTTTAAGAAGTAAGGGGTACGGGGAGGGAGGGGGGATATCTGGGGCACCCACATTCTGAGAAGATCCCCACATCCTATGGAGAACAGAATATTGGGAAGAGGTCCTTGTTACTATCAACATGGGGCCAATGTGCCTTGCATGAGGGGTAAGGGGGATGCTTTGCTGACCCCCCCCCCCCCCTTTCCCCAGC